AAAACCCACCATCACTGCCCTGCAGAATCTCCCACTCCTCATGGCGAGGCAGCTGGGCGCCGGCTCGGATGGCTTCGTGCGGCTGCCCCTCAGCTCAGCCTCCCTGGCGCTGCCTGACCTGGCGGTGACCGGGTCCTCAGAGGCCCTGCTCAAAGGGCAGAAGCCGCCACTCATCCTGGCAGCCCGGGCGGTGGACGCTGCGGGGAAGATCGCGGAGCAGATTCTCCCGATCTTCTCGGAGGGATTTGTGGTGCGTTGTGTGGAGGGTCCAAGCCGGGTGGGGGAACCTGAGGCTTCTCGATGAAGCGTCTGGGGGAGGGCGGAGCTGGGATCACGTACCGGGGTGGCCCGGCTGCAGACTGGCCCGGGGGGGGAGAGGGTTAGGAGGAGGGGTCCCTGGCCATGTCACTGCACTCCTCGTGCACAGCCTGCACTGCTGGTGGACTCTCACACCATGACCTGTGCTGAGCCCTCTGAAATGACGCCTCCCTGCACCCACACCACGATCAACCGCAGGTGGCAACCCCTCGGGTGCGGACCGCCGCCAAGAACGACATTCCACATTGCGAGGACAATGTCTGCAAGATCAATGCGGGTGAGGAGTCTGGGAGGGTGTTGACAAGCTGTGCAGCGTCGCAGGACAGCCTGCCTGGTGGGGTGATGCTGGTGCAGTGCGCAATCCAGGCTCGGCCCAGCACTTGGGCGTGGCAGGCGCGCGCTCCCAGACTGCTGTCATGGCATTCTTGGCTCAGCCACTATTCCACCATTTGCCCTGTGCCGACCCGCCACACCAGCCTTGCAATACCCGCAGTGGGGAATGCGACGCAGACCAAGCTGAAGGACCTGGCCCGGGCTGCCGCAGATGCGGGGATCGGCAGCTTTGCGTTCCCTTTCCACAGCGTGAACAAGGGTGTGGCGGGGTGTGGGTCGGTGCAGAGCGCCTTGTGGCCTGGTGGAGGGAGCCTGAGCGTGCTCCCCTGGACAGCCAATCTCGATTCTTGTGTTCTCTCATCCCTCCCAGTCCGGGAGCTCCAGGCTCTCATGGTGTGGGCGGAGGAGAGCTTGGAGCGCTGCGACGCCACCAAGAAGATCCTGAAGCTGACAAAAGGCTGGGAGGAGGCTCGGGAGCATGTGTTCAAGGTGAAGGCTCTGAGTTTGCGGCTGGGAGGGCATTGGGATGTATGTGGCCTTGGACTGTAGTAGGCGCCGGGTCCTTGCCAGGATCCGGGGTCACACTGTGTCTGTGTGTGGCCAGCGAACATCCGGGCCCTGCCCTCGGCCAGCATTTGACATGGTACACCGCCAGCCTGGCACCTTATCGACATCAAATCCACCCTGAAATGCACGATGCACCCTCGCTCACCTGTCATGCCGCAGGCCGTGGAGAGCGACACCCGGCTGCGGCTTTGGAGCAGCCTGCCCTCGGGCAGCCTGGTGGGCCTCCTCTTCCCTACCAGCGGCGCCACGCCCCTGCTGGACAGCCCCCTGGGTGAGTCGATCGGGCGGCTGTGGGGGTGTTTGTGTGGAACGTAGCTGTGGAGGAGGGGGTATGGTGTCATGGTTGCTGGACTGATGTCTTTGCCCAAGCCCCCCTTGTCCCTGCCCATGTAAACCACTACGTAATCTCCCTCATACTCCCGGGACCCTGCACCGCAGCCCTGGTGGAGGAGGGCCACGAGCGCGAGGAGGCAGGACCCGTGGTCCGAGCCGTCATGCTGGGCAAGGGGGAGGGCGAGGTGTCGCTCGGCGCGGTGCGAGAGCTGCTGGCGGAGGCGCAGGTGGGACTTGTTGGGAAGAGGGGGTTGGTTGCAGGGGATGTGTTCCGCCGCAAGCCCTCGTGCACTCCGCGTGGATCGAGGAAGGGCTCCAGGCTGCGGGGCTGCGGCGGGGTGCAGGACCCCCAGGCAGAAACACGCCCGCATCAGGGCAGCCGGCCCTCCACCCGCCTCGCCCGCCCCGTTCCTGCACCAGGCCTCCTGGTCTCGGCGCGGCCACCCCGGCTGGTCCATGCTGCCCATGGACAGCGAGAGCTTCTCCGCCTCCTGCTCCCGCCACATCTCCATCGTCCTCCCGCTGAGCCTGCTGGAGGGCGCGGTGCCGGGCATCGGCCTGCCCATGCCCAGCCTGGGCGGGGGGGACGCGCTGGGCCCGGGGCCAGACCCCGGCGGCGCCGCCACGGGGCTGAGCATGTCGCAGCGCCTGTGGCAGCTGGACAGCCTGGGCACGCTCCGCTCCGAGGTGCTGGGCGCGCCCCCGCACGACCCCGGCGCGGTGACCTTCCCCGGCATGGCGCCCCCGGCCTACTTCCCCGACCCCTTTGGCGCGGCGGCGGCCGCCGCCGCCGCCGGGTCGCCGCTGGCCGCCCGCCCCGGCCGCCCCGGCGCCGCGGGCGACCCCTTCTACGCCTCCGGCTCCGGCTCGGCGGCCCTGGACCTGGAGGCCAAGCCCTTTGACCCCGGGCAGGCCGCCATGGCCGCCACGTACACGGGGCGGGGGTCGGGGGGCCCGGCGCCCCCGACCCCGGAGGGCGGCTGGGACGGCGGGGGCGGGCCGCCGGGGCCGGGCACGGGCCCGGCGCACACCGCCAGCGGTTCGTTGTCCACGCTGCACGAGGAGGGTGGGCTGTCGCCCGTGAACAAGCGGGCCCGGACGGGCCCCATCAGGCCAGAGCCGCGCCTGGCCTCCATCCCCAGCAACCCCCTGGTGAGGGGAGGATGGGTGGGAGGGTTTATAATATGGGGGAAGGAAGGGTAGGAGTGGAGCCCAACGGGACCGTGAAGAGGGGACTCGAACGCCGCCAAACTTGTGTTGCTGCGGGGACAGAGTCTTGTGTTTGTGCAGAGGGGTGGGTAGGGGAGATTAGCTGCTGCCATGCTACCTTTGCCAACCCTCCAAGCGCTCATGAAACCCCACCTTCCATCACCACCCGCAGCTCCTGTCCAAGCTGCTGAGTCTGGGGCAGGCCGGGCAGGACCAGCTGCGCAACCTTTACTTGCCATCATTGTCCCGCCTGCTGGATGGTATGCCCAGTGAGTCGTGCTGGCGGGGGGATGGAGTGGGAAAGCAGCGCTGGTGACATTACATGTGGCAGGAGGGCAGCAATGGGGGCTGACTCGGCCACACTTGTGTTTCCTCCTATGTCCACCCTTGTCGCTGAATGAGAGTAGCGGAGAACACCGCACACATGCCCCCTGTCCGGCCCACAATTCCGCACCATGTCAACCCCTGCAGTGCAACCCTCTCCCAGTACCTAACTTCCCTTCTTACTCCTTGCCACAGGCGGCCCCAACTTCCAGATGATCGAGCAGCCGCCCCTGGGGCTTGAGAGCCTGGCACCCCCCTCTCCCTCAATCGACTACGCCGCCATGCTCAGGGTCAGCCCTGGGGATGGTGCCTGGGGACTACGTGTTTAGCTTTGCCACACGCCACCAAATCATGGCAGGAACGGTTGCACCAAGCCCCAACCCAACCCCTGAACCCCCTCTGCCACACAGGATGCATACCGGCCCTACGACCAGGACCCCGCCCCCCTGCCCTGCCCGGCCCGGCCCGGCCCGCCCCCCTCTCCCCCGCCCTCCGCCCACAAGCCCAGCAGCCAGGCGCTGGAGCAGCTGCTCAAAGCGGCGGGGCGCTTCGACTACGCCTCCCACCTGCTCGACCGGGACGGCGGCGGGCACCACCCCCACCACCCCCAGCAGCACCCCCACCATGGGCGCGAGGAGGGGCGGCTGGGCATGCCGCCGCTGGCGCTGCTGGGTGACCAGGGGCTCGACCCCGAGGTAGGGCCCCGCGATCACGTGGCGACGGGGCCGGGGCTGGGCGAGGCGCAGGCCTCGGCGGAGCAGGAGCTGCTGCGCAACCTCATAGACATCACTCGGCGCTCGGAGCACGACGCGGGGCGCTGGGCGCCAGAGAGCCAGGGGGAAGCCGTGGGCTGGGGCAGGCTGTTGTCCATGGAGACGCACCCGGAGTGGTCGCGGCCCGTCCAGGAAGTCCACACAACCATGGGTGAGGCGCGCGAGGGGGGGGGGGGACGTGTCGGGGACAAGAGGGGGGCCCTGGAGAGCACGGAGGGAAGGAAGGAGCAGGCGAAGGTGGGAAGGGTCTGCTTGAACAGTATGGAACAGTAATAACAATTATTCATGCAACTGCCGGGCAGGAATGCGAGGGTCTCAGCTGGTGTGTCCGGAAAGGGTTGGAGCTCGCCAGGTGTGATTCGGGGCTCGCAAGCATTCACCCCCTCACCCCTCACACCCCACGCCCACGCCCGACAGGTCCGGTGCTGCGCCCAGACTAGCAGGAGGGAGATCACACATCACATACGCTGCAATGCCGCGCTGCTGCACCGTCCATTTCATCGCGGGGGCCGGGCCATTCTCCATGGCCTCCGGAGCAGATTTTACAACTCACAGCTTACTCACATTCATCCAGCCCCACATTAGGGTCGCTGCAGTTGCTCATCATCGTCAGGTTTTCCTGATTGCGTTACCAACCTTCGACTCTGCTTCACTACCTGTGGCACCCTATTTACACTTTGACAGCACAACCACCACAGCCACTGCTTGGGAAAGAAGCATTTGGCAAAGAATTTTAGAATGACGTTTTGTAAAGTAGAGACGGTTTCGTTTAGTAGCAAGGGTGAGGTGATAAGGTCGTGCTGCAGCACATCTCGCTCAAGGGGGGCTGGAAATGGTTATATCCTGATGTAATGTGGGCAATATGTACACTTCTGTATACATGAATCAATACATCCAGCCCTGTCCTCACTCAGCAGGAGAGGGGGGGAACTCCATAGACGCGGGCCCAGAGTCATCACCGATGTTGATGATGCGGTTCTCAGGGCTCTCAGTCTCCAGCTTGGGCACCACCAGCGTGAGCACGCCATCCTCCAGCTTGGCGGTGATACCCTCCGGTGCTGCCGACTTGGGCAGGCGCACGCTCCGCCGGAACCGGCCGCGGAACCGCTCGCCGAAAGACCGGGAGGACCGCTGGCCAGCCTCCTCCTTCCTCTCGGCGGTGATGGTCAGGACACCCTCGGGAGACACCTCGACCTGAGAAGAACGGTGTCTGAAGTTCAGCGGGCGGGCGGGGTTGTGGAGAGACTCTCGCGAGATCCGCCGTCCCGTGAAAACACTATGGTCTCCAGCGCGAGTGAAACCCACTCACCTTCACGTCGCTCTTCTTCAGCCCGGGCAGATCTGCCGAGATGGTGATGCGCTTGTCTTCCTGCTGGAGGTCGATGGGGAGTCTGAAGGCGGCGCGCTCGGTGGGGACCTCCGTCTCCTTGAAGGCGTTCATGATCTTCTCGAAATCACGGAACGCTCCCTCGAGCCCGATTCCCATTCCCATGCTTGGGCCCCAAAAGCGGGGAGAGCAGCTGTGGGAGATGGGATATGTGATTGGCTGTGATGTATTGCAATGAGATCGGGCAGCACCATGCATCCACACATTGGGTCATGGTGGGGTCTCTGAGATACAACCCGATCCCTTCACGCACCTCGCCCCGTATGAGCCAGGCTGCCCATACGACCAGTTACGGGGCGATCCCTGGCTTCGATACCCGGGTCCACACCCTCGAGCCACGACCAGGCGGGATGCTGCCCGGGAAGGTCTTGCTGAGGCGGCAGAGGGCCTCACTGTGGTCATCGCGTTTGGGATGGCAGCCATCGACATGGTGTCAATGAATAAGGGTGGTCAGGCAGTCTGCTGCTTGTGAATGACTTACTGAAAATAAATGTGAATGTGTAATGCTCCTCGTTCTGCGTGAGCTTTTATTTCGCCAATCATGCGAAGGAACGCGATGATGGCGGAGCCACGCTCGAACCTTCCGACTTCCAAAAACGAAACTCCCATACAAATGTGTGGTCCTCCGCCTGACGAACCCTCCACGCACACCCCTTGACTTCTCCTTACAAATTCGTAATCGCCAGACCAGAAATGAGTGAATGACCTTCTGCCGATGAGTTACACATCTCCTGGTGGCCGGCATGGCAAGCATGCACTGTGACAAGGGCGCACCCGGCCTTCACATGATGGCTGGCATGTACATGCAGCGCTGCACATAATCCCCCTTCCTCCGCGTGGCGTGGCGGATGAGCCCCACGAACTGCAGCTCTGACACCGCCTGGGAGAAGCGGGCCGCGACCTGCATGCGCGCGCCACCGTCGGCACATGCATCGGCCTGCGACGGAGTGAATTATGACTGGAATGAGCCTAGGCATGTGTTTGTAGGCTGATGGACGGCGGCTCCCTCACATGCAAGCCCGACCCAAAACCGTCTTGCCCAGCCTCGGCCAGTATTCTGGGAAGCTCAGGCGCACCTTGGCATCTGCCGCCTTGGAGCCGGTCTTCCTCCCCTTCTTCCTCGGCCCATGACACTCGCGCACGTCTGCAAAGCCCTGGAACCAGTCGGCCACATTCTGGCAGTTGGCGTCCTGCGGAGAGCCGAAAGATGGCCACCCAAGGGAGGGTGGCGGTGTCTCTTGGGCATGTGAGTCGTGCACATTGGCTCTGCAGGCAGATTAGGATCGGCCTCCCCCCCCCCGGTCGTCCCTGGCCCCACTCTTCCCCCCTTGCCGCCCTCACCGCCTCGAAGAGCTGCCAAGCCAGGCATGCGTCCTCCGTTTGCGCGTTCAAACCCACGGGGCCCGGCAGGCCAAGCACCCGCTCAGGCCTGGTCAGCGCCTGCATCAGCGCCTGCATTGCGGTGTACGAGTGGGGAACGGGGTGCAGCCTCAGCCACAGCCTGCCGAGCACAGGAGTGGGGCCGGCCAGTTGGAGGAAGGAACGGCAGGAAAGGGGCTGGCTCCTGCTTTGATTGCTGCTCTCCACAACATTGGCGGGAGGGTGACTTGAAGGGCCCCCCATACCCTCCCCGAACCCACGGCCACGTGCCTCGCGGGGCGAGGCGGTCAGCGAGTCCAGCGCCTCTGGCCTGCAGGCCGTCACCATGGCGGCGGCCTCGAGAGTGTCAGGCGGCGCGGCCAGCAGGCGTGCCAGCGTCTCGCGCAGCCACGCGGGCATGCCCGGTTTCTTGGTCGCCCCACGGGCCTCGACACAGAGCCCATCGCTCCCGGGCTCGGCGTGCTGTGCGCGCTGCGCTGCGACGCCCAGCATGGCCGCGCGCCGCGACGCCTTGCTGTGGAAGCGCGACTTGGGGCCGGGCGGGGGAGGGGCCTGGCTGGCGTCTGGCTTTGAAGAGGCTGGATGGGCGCTGCGACTGGCACGTTGATTGGTCAGCTCCCCGACGGCGTCGCCCACCTGCTCCTCCTGCTGCTCGATGCCGACGCCCCTCTGCTCCTCCCGCTGCTCGTCAGTCATGCCCTCGTTCCCTTCCTCCTCCCGCTCAAACTCCCGCAGCCGGGCCAGCTCCTCCACCAGCGCCTCCTTGGCCCCGGGGACGCGCAGCGCGGCCGCCCGCAGGTCCCGCGCCAGCGCCCGTGCCGCGCCGGGCCCCGCCGCCGCCAGCCCCGCCTCCAGCGCGCGCAGCGTGGCCTGCCCCGCCGCGGCGCGGGCCCATCCGGGGTCGAGCGCGTCGCGGTACAGCCGCCAGTACGGGCACGCCCTGGTCTGGCCCAGGGCCCGCGCGGCGAGCGCCGCCCAGTGCAGGCCCACCGCCCAGCGCGCCCAGCACGTGACGACCTCGGCCGTGCCGGCAGGGACCCCAGGCCCATCCCTCTGGCCGGGCACCCAGTCCAGCAGCCCGGCCGCCCCGGCGAGGCCCCGCCCCGCCGCCGCCGTCAGGAAGTGGGACAGGGCGGCGAGGCGCAGGGCCTGGCCGATCACGCCCGTGCTGAAGTGGTGCAGCAGGCAGGCGTCCCAGGCGCGCGCAACTACGGCGTGGGAGAAGAGCAGCCCCGGCCAGCGGCCATCACCGCCCAGCAGTGCATCGCACACCAGGCGGTTCAGTCGGTCCATCGCAGAGGCCTGTTTGGGATTGGGTTGGGGGGGGGTGTGGAGGAGGGGTGGTTTGTGGGAGGGCACGTGTCGCAGGGTGAGCTGGGGGCAGGACAGATTACCAGAATGGAGCCTTGGGGCGGGGCTCTGCTGCAGGACATCCTGCTGGTTCGGCATCGGGCTGCGATGGGGTTGAGGAGGGCTCCACCTCCGAAACCACCGACATGCACTTCCTTGTTCAAGGGCCCCAGCCACGGCACCCCATGCACACACCAGATTGAAGAAGGAGCACGCCAGGCACCGCTCCAAAACGTCGGAGGAGAGCACGGCGTGCAGGGCGGCGGCGGAGGTGGTGAGACCCAGCACCAGGGTCAGGGGGACCTCCCAGCAGCCCTGTCAGGGGGGCACGAGTGGGCTTGTGGTGTGGGCATGGGTCAGGGGATGGGGGGGGCAGTGTGTCCTCTCACAGCCTGCAGGGTCGATGATGTTGGCAGCGCAAGAGGCGCAAACTTGCTGCAGCACCCCAGCAGCAAGCGGTGTGTATGGCGCGGCCAACCCTGCATCCGGATAAGTGCCTTGAGCAACCCCAGCACAGCCACACACCCACGGCCAAAGCCCGGTGCGCCCCACCACCAACACCGCATGGCCCACCTCGCTCAGCGCAAGGATGAGGTCCCTGAAGGCGCCGGGGTCCGCCATGTCCGTGCCCTCCACGACGAGGACCAGGGGGGCCTGCAGCGCGACCTCCTGCGCCGCGCTCCGGCCCCCGCCGCCGCCACGCTGACTGGACCTGGCGGCACGCGGAGCGGCGGCCGGCGCAGGCGCCTCGCAGTCCATGCTCCCCAGCACACCTCCCCCCGTCTCGTCCTGGTACCATGCGGCCAGCGCCTGGGCAGCGAGGCGGTTTGGGGTGAGGGGTGGGCTTGCTGGGGGAAGGCTGACTCGGCGGGCACCCGACGGGGCCTCGCAGCGGGGTTGTCTTCGGGAGCACATGCAGGAGACCCTCCGGGGACCCAACCTGCGTGTCGGCCCCGGGGCTGTCCAGCCCCGCAAAGTCCTTGATGACCTGCTGCAGGGCCGCGCTCGGCGTCTTCCCCAGCGAGTTGGGGTGCAGCAGGCTCACGTAGCACCCCTGCGAGGGCGGCGGTGGACGGCGGTCTGCCTGGCACGACAAGGCTCCGTGGCCGACGGGCATGCGCCCTGCCTTTCTGCGGCCTGCGCAGCAGGGACGGAGGCTCCACAGCGAGCCCACCTGACACCCGACTGCTCATCAAGCGCCAACCTCCTCAGGCCCAACTCCACCTGGTTCCTGAGGTGAGAGGCCAGGGCCGGGAACGTCTGGGCGTGGTCGGAGGCGTTCACCCCTCCCGCCAGCACGAGGCCGGCGGGCAAAGCGCGCTTCCCTGCCCCGCCCCAGCGCCCCTGCGAGGCCAGCAGGCCCCGGCTGGATGCATGGGAGCCTCGCACAAAATCCAGGAGGTCTGTGAACACCGCCGCGTCGGTGGCAGCCACCGCCTCCTGGCGGCAGGTGGTGGATGAATGCGATCGGCGTGGTGAGCAGGAGCGCCTTCACAAGTGTGTCCCGTCAGAGCAAGATCAAGCCGCTGATCTTCACAGCGAATCCGGCACCTCATGCGCCTTCAAGTGGGTCTCTGACCCACGACTCACGCTTATGGAGGTCTTCAGGCGGGACACACAGGCCTCGGAGGCGGCTGCTCTCCGCAGCCGCTGCTGCACCTCCTCTCCCTTGAAGCATGGTGGGAAGCCTGCCAGCAGCAGGTCCCGGGCGACATGCGCGTGTGGGTCTAGAGCATGGACGCCTGGCTTCCCGCCCTTGGCCTTCTTGGGGCTGGGCGGTGCAGGATGGAGCAGGGTGAAGGCCCGATCCACCCCCTGCCCGCCCAGGTCCTCCCCGTCACCCTCCGTCTCCCACTCCATCGAGCTGCTGCGGGGACTCCTTCACGGTGCGCAATGCAGCATCCAGATACTTTGGTCCTGATACGATAGATATCGCTGCATTAGTGCATGAATTCCCGGGAGATCCATCTCATTTCGACTGTCGGGTCCCGCTTGAATGCAGGCGCGCAAGCTCCCTCCCTTTCTTCAACGGCGCTCCGGTCCAGCGCGCGGAGACTTTTGCTGGTCCATGGGTTCAAGACGCCGAAGCACAGCCCGGCGCAGGGCGAGTGTGGGACGCCCAACTGGTAAAAACCATTGGTGTTGCAGGATGGAGCCATCCGGCGGTTCCGCCGGCCAGCTCCTAGTGTCCTCGGCGCTGCCCGTCGTAGAGATGTGCCTCATCGGGGGCATTGGCGGCCTCATGGTGCACAAGGTGCGCCCATGCCCCGGCACCACCCCCCTGTAATGGTTGCCTGCATGCCATGTCGCCATACCCCAGTTCCCTTCCCCCGCCCTCCCATTGCCAAAACACAGAAGCTGTTTGACGCCTCCAGCTGCACCGCCCTAGCCCGGGCCTGCCTCTTCATCTTCATTCCCTGCCTGACCTTCGGCAAGCTGGCACAGTCCGTGACCCTGGACTCGGTGCTCTACCTCTGGCCCCTCGTAGCCAACATCGTGGTCAGGTGAGCGGGCGTGTGAGGGCTGTGGGTTTGTGGATGGGGGTTGGGCTGGCACCAATATGACTGCCAGTCACGAGTCAGCCTTTGAACATGTGCAACCCAGCACTTGTGCATGTGAACCCACCCCCACCTGTCGAGTGTGTTTATCTGAGCCGGCTCCCACACTCCACCCTCGCCCTCACCCACCCTTCCTTTCAGTCTCCCCGTGGGCCTGGCCCTGGGCTGGGCGGCGGCCCGCCTCACCGGCATGCCCCGTGCCTACACCCCACACGCCATGTGCTGCGTGGCCTTTGGCAACGTGGGCAACCTGCCCCTGGTCTTCGTGGCAGCGCTGTGCCACGACCCGCACACCATCTTCTTCCGCCGCCTGGGCGCGCCCTGCGAGGTCCTGGGCATGTCCTACACCGCCTTTGCCATCCTGGGTGCCACGGTGCTGCAGTTCACCGTGGCCATCCAGCTGCTTAAGCCCGAGCTGGAGCTGGCGGTGGAGGTGGTGGGCGGCCGGGCGGGCGACTTCAGGCTGGGGCCAGGGTCGGACGCTGCAGCAGGCGCCGGGGCCCCAACCCGCGGCGCCGCCGCCGACGACCCCGCGTCGCGCCAGTGTCAGCAGGCACCAGGAAAGCGCGGCGCGGGGTCGGAGGAGGAGGGGCACATGCTGGCCGCCGAGCACCCTCAGCCGATCTGGGAGCTTGCGCGGCGCGAGGACTCGGACGCCACGCTGGACCTCCGCAGCGGCTCCCTGCTCAGCGTGGAGCTGCCGCTCATGTCCTCGCCGCGCATGGACTCGGCCGCCGGCCTCGCCGCAGAGCGGGAGGGCGCGGGCGAGGGGGCGCGACTGCTGCCGGGCGCGGCCGCGCCGGTACCCGAGCGCCACGAGCCAGGCGCGGGGCAGCGCGCTGCGAATTCCTTTCGCGGGCGGCTCAGACACAGCGCGCGGCGGCTGGCGGCCGTGCCCTGGGCCTCCTTCTTCCCGCTGCCCACGCAGGCGGCGCTGGCCGGCGTGGTCGTGGGCTGCATCGCGCCCGTGCGGAACGCCCTGTATGGCCACGATGCGCCCCTCACCTTCCTGGGGGACACGATAGAGACCCTGGGCAACGGGCTCATCCCCTGCACCATCGTCCTCCTGGGGGCGGTGCTGTACAGGTGATGCCCTGGGGTGGCGAGGGGGACTCGAGTGGTCATTGGACCTCGCCAGAGCGCCTGGCCCCTGCTCCCGCCTGCTGCAGAGCCTGGCTGTCGAAAGGCTGCAGGATCCTTGCGAGTCGTGATCATGCCCTGATCGCCAACCGCAAACAGACCCCGCTCACCTGGATTCCGCACACACGTGTGGATGCGTCCACACGCCAATCACCAAACCCAGCCCGCCCAACCGTCCACGCTGCAGGAGCTCACGCAGCGCCAGCAACACGCTGTCTACGGCGTCAGTCGCAGCCACCATCGCCAGCCGGCTGGTGTTCTGCCCGGCGATCATGACCGGCCTTATCATGCTGGCCCTCAAACTCAAGCTCATCCAGCCCGTGGACCCCCTGTTTGTGCTGTGCCTCCTCCTGCCAAACTGCAGCCCGACCGCCATCAACATCCAGGTGCCCGGGCATCTGACGCATGTCCCTGTTTGTTTAGGGAGCGGTTGGGGCAGGGATGTGTGTGGTGGGGGGGGCGCCTGAGCATCTGCGTCGGTTACTGAGGCACGTGGAG